GAGAGAGAGAGTGTGTGTGTGTGTCCTCTTGCCTGCGAGCAGGTTCTCTGGCTATGCCGCTGTTCCTTGCAGGTCAATGCTTGCATTTCAGGGTTCAGCAGCGTGCAGGTCGCTGTCTTGCCGGTGCCTGCCACCGCAAAGTGGCCTGTAGCGCCCAACATGCAAAGTTTAAGGTGTATAACCCTCCCTCCCGATCACTTTTTAATCGCTAGATGCTTTTATGAGAAATCCTAAACCCCAAACCCTAAACCCTAAACCAATCTCTTTGTGCCAGGACCTTGGAGGCATCACCGTACTCCCCGTTCTGGAGGCGCCTAAGAGCGGTCCTTTGAACGCCTTTTTTGCTTGTACCTCGTGGCTGAGTAGGAGCTCTACGTGTCCTTCAACGACGTGAGCGACTTGAGTCCTCTACTTTCCCATGAGGCCGGGGTTGCAAGTACACAGCCAGGTCCCCTTTGGGGCTGATGAGCGCAGGCGCTGCAAATCTTGGATATGGAGGGCAACTTGGTGGATGACTTCGAGGAGATCCAATCCTTAGAGGTCCCGCTTGCAGAGCTTCTTTGGCATGTAAGGTGGTGCCTTAGAGCTCATGTTCATTTGAGCTTGCGCTCGGAGAGTGGGTGACGATTCTGGAAGGACATCGAGCATGCGTGACGCAAGGGTGGCTTTCACAGAACGGAAAACCTTTCGAAGAAGCGCTCGACCACCCCTGCACTCCACCGTCTGTGTCAAGAGTCAAGACCAAATTTGCTTCTTTCCTTCTACACATCGCCAGGTAGTTTCCACGCTTCGGGAGCTGGACATCAGCCGTGATCTCAGTTCGATGAGAGGCCCTGCAAGAAGGTCATTTAGAATCAAGAATCTCGAATTTGAAAGCAACGAGGTCTGAACCCAGTGCGGAAGCAGGAGGCTGTGACGAGGGAACGAATCCTGGAGGTGCTTCTGGAAACGCTTTGGCTCATCCTCAGAGAAATCCCAGACCCCAGAGCTTCAGAGGCGCTGCCCCACTTGGAAGTCTTGGACACGATTCCCAGAAAGGCCTGTCACACGGATGGAGGCAACAGGCAACATTCCAAGACCATGCCGAAGTAAGATAAAAACTTGCAGCTTGTTTTCGCAGTATGAGAAGTCTGCAGCTGTTTCGGAGGGACAAAGTCGTGCCTCAAGTGTGCTGCAGTTTCACCCGCATTCACTTGAGAACAACATACCTACCATTTGCCCTGTGCTTTTGCAAATAGAGTCTAGTTCTTCCGACTCGATGGTGCTGGGGAGTGTGGACCTGGTGTTTTGCCACGATGCGAGCCTGCTTCCCGCCTTCGCACGGCTCTTGGGACCCATCGAGACGTGGCGGCTGCGTGCAACTGCATCCATCGTGCCTTGCTCGGATCATGGCTGCTCGTGCAGCACCAGCGCTGATCGCTGAAGTCTCCAAGGCTGCGGCCACTTTGGTGGCCACGCTGCCCAGGCTTCGCTGCCTGTGGCAGGTGCAGAGCCTGAAATCAATTTGCAGACAGACTGTACTCTTATGGCCGCCGTTAGCTGGCAAGAACTCCTACTTGGGTCCATGTTTTGCACAGGTGGACACAGCTTCGGCCCAGCACTCGCAGAGGCCGGCAAAAGCAAGGGCCATAGTCATAGGCCACAGGCAGCCCGTTGCATTGAAGCTTTGAGATGCTTTGAGAGGTGATTCACCAGAGCCTTGGGCGCTTGGAAGAGTCCGACTTGGCTCGGCTGGTGGGCTGCTTGGCTCGGAAAGAAGGCTCCATGCTGGAGTGCTGATCAAAGCTGCAGCTTGAAGTTTTTTCCAGGGGAGAAGCTGCTCCTCGGCTTTCCGGAAAGCCTGGCAGCCAATGATCTGGGCCAAACTGCCGTGACCTGGGCTGCCGATTACGGCCTTGCCAAGGCCAGTGCCCTTTGCTTCGCGTGGCAAGTTCCTCTCGCCTGGTGTTCCAACTATAAGCTTTCAGCAAGCTCAAGGTACTGCAGTTGCTGCTCAGCCCGCTCTGTGATGCTCGCAGCTGGGCACTTGACAAGGCCTGGTAGCTGTTAGTGGTTCGACAAGAGTTGAGGTCCGGAAATCTCACCTAGACACTACCCGGATGCTACGGAGACCGCAGATTGCGAGGTTGAGAGCAATGGCTGGTACCCTCTCTTCCGCGCTGCCTGGAACGGCCGGGCGGAGTGTGCAAAGCTTCTGCTGCGAGCTGCTGCAGACGTGGAAGGGGTCGCTGGTGCCATGGCTGAAGGGGGAGGAGTTGCTGCAAGAGAAGAGAGGTCAGTGTCACCACTGCCGTTGTCCAGGTGCTGGCAGGTATTCCCCTCTGATGTCAGCTGCACGCTGGGGCCACAATGAGGTTGCGCCAGCTACACTGTCACGAGATGTCAGAAGACCCCGGTTAACACCCGGAGGTAGTGGGGCTGCTGCTCTCCGCGGCCGCCGAACCTGCGCGTTGCAACCGCTACGGAGAGGACCGACAGGTCTTTGAAAGAACCCCGGCAGCTTCGCACGTCTTCCAGGACGCGTGGGTGCTCGCGAAAGGTCAGGGACATGGGCAGGTACCCGTCTCTTTCGTGAGGGAGGAGTTGTTTAGGAAGCCATGCTCTGATGCCCAGAGACCCCGAAGCTGCTGTTAAGCCCGTGTCAGAATCGAGTGTCGATAGATCCGGCTCTGCCCACGTAAAGGTACTGCAGCTGATGAGCGATGCGGGAGCACATGAGCGCGACCTCTTCGAAGAGGTGCAGTGATCGAAAGACTCAAAGGCCAATTCAAAGACAGGCTTGCGTTTTGACCAATTGCAGGAGTGGCGAACCTCCAACCGTGCACGAAGAACGCTTGGTCAGGGCTGGGTCGCTCTTGGAAGCGACTTCTATCTATCGAAGAGCTAAGCCAGCTAAGTGCGGCTTGACTCCGTTCTCGCAGAACTGCTACGTCACGGTGGCTGTGGTTTGGCTTGATCATCCCCCCTGCGCTTGGATGAACTGAGCGGTTCCACGGCTCCCCACGACGAGGACTTCGCCTCTCAAATACGGCTGGGATCTCCTAAGCACCGAGCCTGTACATAGCCATGCTGGGATCTGATCGGCGGCGAGTCGCAGCCAGAAGACTCATGCTAAACTGTGAACCGTGGCTTCTAAGCTGCAAGAACGGAGAGCTTCCTCGGTAAAAAGTCTGGCTGTTGCCCGCAAGCTTGCTTGCGCGCATAGAGGAACATGGTAGATCGGTCACAATCGTCGAGTGAGCCTGGTGCTAGTGCTCCCTGCGTCCTGGTTGGAGGCCAAAGCTCAGCTGGAGGTGAGCGATGCTGAGCTGGAGCCCCTCAGCGAGGAAGAAGCGGCAGAGGCCGCAGAGGCGGAGGTGCGCAAAGTCTGAGGAATAGGCTCCTTCAAGGTGCTTTGAAGGCAGGTAAAGGCAGTAAAGCGGTCCAGTGGCACTGTCTGTCTGTGGTGCGCATGACCAGACCAACCTCTTGACTAGACTAGACTGCTTGTGACTGCTTGTGGTTCAGGAAGACATGCAGAGAAACGATGAGCTTTGCAGCCATCCGCTTAGCTTCATGAAATGGGCCGCGCTGCGAAATAGAGCCCATGTAGCCTCGGTTGTGCCACTGCTTCAGCTCATCGGGTAGCGTGACAGCTTCAGGCGTGGCAGCGCTCCTTCAGCAGGCTGGGAAGAGGATCTGCTGTGAGTTCTTGCGTGTGGTGGCCGCTTGTGAGGTTGCGGCAGAGACGGCCGCACGGCCTGCAGACGACAGCGGCCGGGGCCCATGCAGGGCCGCAAAATCCACGATGGGTGCCTCCTTCAGCACGCGCATCTCAGGTGATCGTGCGCTCCAGGAGCTGCGCCGACGCGCAAAGGCGCAGCCACAAAGCAGAGCCACGAGTTTCCTGGTGTGACCGCAGGTGTAGAGGAAAGTATATAACTTCTCCACAGCTGGGAGGCATCTTCAGCTGAGCTCGCAACTCCTCCTGCCCCTCTATCTGCCGAGAAGGTGGGGCAACGCTGGCTCCTTTGCTTGTGAAGGCGACAGTCTCTGCAGGAACTTCCGAGCAGTGAAATCTCCAGCGCAGTGGCCGCCTTCCGAGAGCTCAGGCCTCAGCCTGGAGCTGTAGCAGCCTGCTGCGTCATCGCCATGACCACCGTGCTGATGCTCATGATCATTGTCATGATGATGATGATGATGATGATGTTCCGCAGCACGGCCCGAGGTCTCTTCTTGGCACACTGGGGTCAGCCTGCGGGAACGGAGCTTTCGGAGAAACGGCGGCCCCGGTCCTGGCAAGCGCATCGAGATCTCCGCCGGTTTTTTTCGCGCAAACCCGGTACACTGTAGGCCAGATCCACCTCGAAGGCTGCGGCCGAAAGCGAGGAAGCCAATCCCAAGGCCGATTATATTATACTATATTATATTAAACTAT